TCGATGCCGTGTGTACATTCGGCCAGGACGTCAGAGATATTGCGCCAAGTGCGCACAACGTTTCCTTCCGAGTAGACACGTGACGCATCGACCGTCCCGAATTGCTGAACTGTCATCCCGCAGAGCGGAATTTTCCATGACACCGGCGTATCAATCGACCGTGCGAATTTGCAGATTAAGAGACGAAGACGTAACAAATGATCGCGAAAAGCACACTGAGAAAAGGATTTGGTAATAAGCACTAAAATTTAGCGAATATCCGCCGACCAAAAATGTTTACTACAACCAAATAATTTAATTCTCTATACTGCATATACAGTACTGCAATTCCGTATATCGTATATTTATTATACGGAACTAAATCATTGGTCGCAATAGTCAAATATTTGATCGGCACATATTCGCCGAATTTTGCTAATTATTCGTGATGTGTAAACGTATAAACTCCGCGACAAATAACAGCCGTTCAGAATAACACGACACAAAGTAAGCCATAGTGCATAGCCAATTAGTCAGAGTCCTGCAAATCAAAATCCGATTCAGCCGGATTAACAAATATAACCTAATCCTACCCATATTCATCCGCTTTGGCAAAGTCAGACCCGAGTCCGACCCGAGTAATTTTATTGACAAGAAACTGATCCAAACCATGTTTGGATTTAACTTTCCCGAAAAGGATATAAGTCTGACTGAATTATATTTAACAGCGAATCTCGGACCGAATCGAGTCCTCTCTTAATTTGCAGAGCTCTGACTGACTTACTGTGCACCCCGACTGTGCGCTAATTTGTTTCGTGTCTTATCTTCCCGAATGGCTGTCGTCGCGTTCTGACAGTAACAAAGACAGTAACAAAGTTATTTCGCGTCATAAAATTTTAGCCTGGTTTCTATTTAGTTACACGAACCGAGATTTTTTTCACGTAATAGTAATTAGATAAACAGCACGCGCGTAGCGCGCGTCTATGCTGGTCTAATCGATTTAAATAGAAGATGAGAAAGCCGCGATTTCGCAGGACACTGACTCGATTCCGCTGTCTGGAACGTGGACGGTCCGGAGTCGACGGAGAAGGGTGAAATGATCCTTCGGATTGCGGATTTGAAAGCAAAGATTTCAGAGACGAGCTATCGGAGAAATCCGATTTTATTTATGACGGCTTTACATATCCCTCGTAAGAGGAAAGGTAAGAATCATTCATGGCCTCAGCAAGAGAGATATTTATTTACCGTATTATTATATTTTTGAAAAATATATTTTTGCTTATTGTTCCAGACGATTTTTACGTTTTTTCCTTGTTTTAATCGAGCACAATGCACATTCATAATATTTGGAGCACTCATGACCCCACCTTTCTATTCACGCCCTGTTACTCCGTCTTTCCTTGCGAGGGTTAAATATTATACATGTACAGGGTGTCTGTCGCTAAGTGTCTCATCCATTATATACTTGTAGTTTGGGTTAATGTGAAGTAAAAAGTCCTACACCATTTTGCAAACAACCAAGTAAGTATGTCCGCGTAAATAATTATGCCCTCCGTCACTCGTGTCTCGTCGCATAATTATTCGCCTCCGTCTTCTTTAATTACTCAATTACTCAAAAATCGACGTGTTTGCTCGCAAAATACTACGGGATTTTTTGTTCACATTAACCTAAACCACGAGTATGTGACGGACGAGGCATTTGGCGACATAGACCTTGTATATTCCCGGCAAGCATCAGATGCCGCCGTTTCATCGTCGCAAATGTTCGATTTGCCTTTCATTCGTAGTTCCGTTCTGGAAAAAAAAAAATATAACGCCGAGATTTCTCTGCGGTAATCCGCGAAGTGATACATTATTCATTTTCCATGATACGAAAATTCAACCGATTCGGCTTCCGGGGTTGAACGTCTCGTCGCGCTGAATGCCCGGATAATTTATGACCGTTCTCCGAGTATCGAGGATATACGCGAAATAAATCATGCCGCGTACGTCCTGCATGGACATACATCCGCGCGAACAAAAGAGTTTAAGCGCACATACGCGTGAAAAAATGAAGTTGAAAATTACAAGGCGGTGGGAAAGAAAAATAGACTGTTAACACAGAGAGAGAAATATTTCGAGGGAGAAAGGGAGAACGGTCGGCGTCGATATTTCAATGGTTAAATTAATGCCGCACAAAGCGCGAGAAGTCAAGTATGATCCGAGCCGGGAATATATTTAGTCTTGTATATTTGTCGCAAATATTATCGCAGCGCTTCGCGGTTTGTTATCGCAAGAACGGCACTCTGGTTAGTGTTAAGGTCTTCCAAGACATTTATAATTTATCACGAGAAGATGGGGGGAGGGGGGGGGGAAGAGCAAGAAAAAGAGAGAAAGCTGATAACGAAACCGTTAAGCGGCCGAGATGAAAGTGTCGGCAGGTATTTATTTTTTCTGTAGGACACGACCGACGAGACGTTACTTTGCAAAACAAACAGAGATAAAGCGCGCAATAATAAAAATCATATCTACGAGCTTAATTCAAGTGGCCCTCCCGCACAAGAGAGAGAGAGATTTACCGAGCGTAGCGAAGTAAGTCACAATGCAAATCGACCGTGCGCAATCTGATTGACGACGTTACGTTTATATTAATATATATTATACTATATATAATTCCGTTATAATTCGAGGGAGAAGAAAGAAGCGAAAAAGCGATTTCGAGAAACGTATATTACGGTCGAATGGCTGTATTTATCTCGGTAGGAAGATGAACAGGCGACAAACAAGATCGCCAATACTCAGAGGGCATCGCGTGGTAAAACGTAAAAAATTACCCCTACTTCGTATACTTCTTATACTTCATGGGCGAATATTATTTACGACTTTCCACACAGGTTTTTGCGGGATATGACTGGCGCACGCCAAGGTGTGACTATGAATTATTAATAGAATATGCTACCTCTCCCGTTATAAGAGATCCAGCCGTGGCTGAAATTTCAATTTTACTGCGAGTCGAGTCTCTCCACGAGAGAAAGAGAGAGAAGGAGAGAAGCAGAAAGAGAGAAAGAAAGAAGAAGAAAATTATAAAACCGCCTAAATCTGAAGCGAGACATCCAAAGCGCGTCTAAAGCGAGGAAATCTCTACGATATAATATAGGATTTCGTGTTGAAACATATAATTTCTCATCTCGGGAGTTTTTAATCTAAATTAATAAGATTAGAGAGGTACACGGGGGAAGGGGGGAGGGGGTCAAAGTGTATTTATAAAACCGCGTAAATCCCCCGAGCGCGCACATGTTGCTGCTGTTAAGCGTCACGGCTTTGATTATTGATAACCACGACAGTGACCTATGATTCAGGTTGTAATCGCCAATATGTCTGCGACTCCTTCGATATAGACTGAATATCCGACCGATCTTATCTCGTTTGATCACGATCCCGCCGACTGATTCACGCGGGAAGCGGTCGCACGGTGGTCGAAATTAAGAGACGCGCGAGCGCTGAATGAACTGAAACGAAGTGAACTTTACGGTGTCGCCGGCAGTCGGCGGCTATTATCGGCTATATTCTTGCAGTTATCTTCGAATAAAGATAGCGACATGACGGCCGATCTCGTCGCCAACCACAAGCCACAAAAGCCTTGTCTGGTTATGCTTAGTTGAGAATATGTTCGGAGAAATATGGACATAGACAACGACGCAGCGGACGTTAAAACATTTGCTCGTAAAATATCGTAGCAAGTGCAAAAGTGCTCCGAAAGATACAGGCAAGGATGTCTGAGCAGATATTAAAATATTTGCTTCTAAAATATTGTAACGAGCGCAAAAGTATTTTAAAGAAACTATTTATTTATTTATTCTTAAATTCATTCTGGATTATTTATGATTCGCAACAGAACTCTGTTTGCGATTGTGTTCGCAACGACGTGATTTATAATGCAAGAAACAACTGAATATTTCGTCGATACCTACGCGAATAGGCGTGTATGCGCGCGTATAAATTAACAAGCTAAATTCTGATCCTCGTGTGTTTCTTCGCAAATAGAACTCTGCTCCGAATTCAGTCGCGAGTCACAGCTCGTACTGTTCGTGGAAAGTGGGTTGCGGCAGCAAGTTTATTTGATCTCCCGTCTAAAACGGTAACCCTTGCTCGATGTACTTTTTATGAGCAACAAACACCCGGTGCGCCTTGTGTGATTTTCTTATCAACTTGAGAAACTTTCGATGCCGACAGAGAAAGAGAGAGAGAAACAATGCACAAAATTATATCCTTCTCTCTCTTTCGTTACCTCAAGATATATCGAATTTCCTTTCCTCGACAAGAACATAATATTGTGCGCGGACAGAATCAGCGTGCAAGAGAATTCATAACAAATGCATTTTACGATAAGCGTAATTGCCGCAAATACCGATAAGAGCCGTTCAGACAAGGCCTCTCGCGCGCGCACTTCGCTCTCGGCGTACTTCGCGAAGTCGAGCCTTGCGCCATGCAACTTCGCAAGGCGAGGGGCCGGCCAACAGCAGCCAGTATCGATTCGTTCGCAACATCAAAAATTGAATCTCCGCCGAGTGTGATGCGACGCCGTCGGGTTCGAGAAATCAACAATCGCGCTAAAAGCGCGCGGACTCGCTCTCTCTCTCTCTCTCGTTGCTTGGACGAGGATCGCAGCTGCGTTTGATTCCGCGGAAAGACGCGCGAGCTTTCGAGCGGCGAGACGCGATTCCCGACCGCCGGGGGGAGGAAGCTCACCCGATCTCGTGCGATTTCGCGAGCAAAAGCCCGAAGAGAAGCCGTTTCACGCGTTACGAACGATCGCGTCATCGCGAAACGTCGCAGAGCGAGAGACGATCGCCGGACGCGGCAACGCGAGCGTTTGTTTATGCTCCGCGCGCGAGAGAGAGAGAGAAAAAGAGAGAGGGGAGGCGTAGCAGCAACAGGAACACCGCGCGAAATGGCCGCACTTTGTGTGACATACGCGCGTTACACCGAGCGTTCTCGGTGGAGAAACGGAGGAGAAACATAGAGAGCTATTTCGCACTTACCGCCCAGCGACTCCTCCAAGCACTTCGGCGTCGTCGACATCGCCGTGGATGACGCTCGCACTATCGCTCGGTCACTGTGTGCGTACGTGTGTATATGTGTGTGTGTCAAATCCGCTCTCTCCGCAGCTTCCCCCGAGCAGCGCGTATACGAACGCTCGCGCAAGAGCACTCTGCACTGGACGAACTGCGCGCGCGAGCAAGAGAGAGAGAGAGACAGAAAGTGCAGAGCGACGTGTAGAGCGAGGAGGTCCAAAGGATGACGAGATGAAACGGTAGGCGGCACCACGCACGACGACGCACTTGTCGCCGCGACTAACCGCGATAAAATGCTGCTCCGGGCGCAGCGCTACCGTGCTTTGTTTTGACGCACGTCACACGCGCACGTCAGCCGAGACGGCCGGCCAATCGCGCGCCGGCTCGCCGCCGATGTAAATACACCACGCGACTCAACGCGGCGACCGATGAGCAGCGCGCGACTCCCGCACGCGACTACGCGCGTCAGGCGCGTGAATCTTCCCCAAGGTGAATCGCTCGATATCGTCGCGAGGATGTGGCGATCGTTTCTCCCCTACGTCTCGCTCTCCCCGCGAGAAATCATCGCGCCCGCCTCGCTCGCTCGCACGCGGATATTACGACGAGAGAGAGAGAGAGACACGTAGTACGTTGTTTGTTTACGAGCGATCGTCAGAGCACCGACACCTGCCGAGAGACGGGCGAATTACCGGTCCCGTTAGAACGAAAATGATAGATGCTCGACGATCATCATTTCCGTCTGGCTTTTCCCTCGAGATAACGACTTCGAGTGCCACCCCGTGACGTCGTCCGACGTCGGGATGCGTTTGCCGAGCACTCTTCTGATCACGCGGGCGTATCGCGAGGACGGTGTGTCGGTACTTTCGATATTTCCATTTACGACGTACTTCATGGTATATATATATATATCATACAATGTATACCGTGAAGTATATATATATAGCAAGGTTAAAGAACTACAGCGCAATGCAATCACATTCGTGAGCGGAGGTACGACGAGGAAAGCGCGACGGGCCCCGGCTTTCGCCGGGGAGAAACTCAACGGGCCGAGAGGATAAGGCGCGTTTCCCCGCGGTCGGGATTACCTTCGGCCTGACGAATTCGTTATTTACCAACGCCGCGGCCGCGCGCGCTGCCCGGCTCTCGAGGCCGGTGGCAGCACTGTGCGAGCGCTAATTTGCGTTGAACGACACGTATTTCGGCCGCCGTGAACTGCGTAAATTGCATTTCGCACGGGGACGCGCGCGGCTACGACGACGAACGGCAGCTAGCACCACGACGACGACGAGGACGAAGAAAGCGGAGCACAGAGAAGCCGAGGCAATCCAGAAGGTACGTCTCTCGCGTCCCGTCGCGTCGCCGTCTCGCCGCGTAAGCGCCGTTCGCCGTCTTCGTTCGTTCGTACGAACACACGCGCGACCGATAAGGCGATAGGACGCGCCGCTCTGTGCGCCTCGCTCGCTCGTCCGCTCGCTCTCTCTCTCTCTCGTCCACTCACTCGCTCGCTCGCTCCGCGCGGAGCGAGCGATTTCATGCGGATCGAACGAGAGCGATCTCGTACCCGATGCAATAGCACACGTATAGTAGCAGACATACGCGTTTGTCTCTCTCTCTTTTTTTCTTTCTTTCTCTTTCTCTCTCTCTCTCACGCCAAAGATGGTCGACCGCCGTGAGCGCATCTGTCAAGCGACGATAATCCCCGCGGCTCCCGTCGTCGCCATGCGTCGTCGTTAGCGAGAACCAGACACACGAAGTCCGAGCGAATCGTCCGGCGAGCGGCAGATTCGAGGTAAATACCCGGTCGTGTGCAGGTCGGCCGGACGACGACGGCGAATCGAGAGAGGTCGTGCGCGCGAGCGCGCACACCTTCCCATATGCGCGGCGAGAAACGCCGGGGCATCGTCGGAGGCGACGTCGTCGGTTTATTGTTGACGCTCGTCTCGGCCGCGTCTGGCTCGCCGACCGGCTCTCAAGGTTGCGTTTCGTCAGGCACCGCCTTGAAAGTAAACTTCTGCCCGTCTGTTCTTTTGCTCTTTCCCTCACTCACTCGTACACGCTATCTCTCTCTTTCTCTCTCTCTCGGTCGCTCCCGGACACGCACAGGCGGATTTCGCGTGGGCAACATCGAACCAGTGCGATTGATCGCCGACGCTCTCGGGGGGCCTTCTTCCTCTATTGTGTGTTTACAAGCGGCGGCTGAGCGCGCGCGTCGCAGAGCACGTTCGCGTCGACGCTCGCGGAAGACGGTGAGGAGGGAGGAAAGGCCCACCTCTCCCCTTTTCCCCGCTTCCCGGTGTCCATCGTGGATGCTCGCTTGAACCTTGTTACCTTGTGCGTGGTATCCTTGGTGCTTCGGTAGTGCACACGCGAGTACACACACGGGTCATTCTCCGTCGCCGCGAGAAACCTTCCTTTGTCACGGTGAACTCGAATGTAGATTTTGCCTTTTTTAACCGTCGCCGGGAGGGAGATAGAGAGAGAGGCGATTTCCGCATCTCGACGATCCGTGCCGAATATTGACGGTGGTGTGGCGCGTTCCGCAGATAATTCACAGATCACACAAAGCCGTGAAATATACTGGCTATGAAAATGAAGATTCCAAACAACGGTTCCGGAAATGGTTATTACGGGCACGACACGGGTATCATATCCTACGTGGACAATAACATCGATACCGAGGCGGATGTGCAGGCGACAGGCGACGGGGATTTCTCCGAGTACCTGTGGATGGAGAACGAGGAGGAGTTCGACAAACAGGTATTTGACGGCTTGTGCGAAGAGGCGTGGGGTTTCTGAAAATGTGTCTTTTACTTCACGGAGCTTCTTCGCCGCAGGTACTGCAACAATTGGAGGAGGAAGAGCTGATGGAGGAATGCCTGGAGGCGATGTTGGAGGAAGAGAGGCAACACGAGAGGAATATCAACTCGACCGCGTGGTCCACAGCCACCGGTGCCTCTGACAATAACACGGCTGAACTCTGTCAACAGCTCAGCAGTCTGAAAATGCAGGACGATCTCGCCAAGCAGGTACCGACTACCGAAGCTGCGTTCTGAGATATGCTGACGGTACTAACAGTGCTGCTTTTGCGTTCCGAAATTGTTTTCAGAGTGCTAAAAGATAGTAAAACATATCTTCTTAACGAAAATAGATCCTAGAGAATTGCTGACTTCCAGCTGATCTCACGCGTTGTCTGGAAGTAGTGCAAGTTCATTAATTCATATAAACTGTTCAACGTTCTTTAAATTCTTCACCTGAAAGAAAAGCCACCACGTGCTCAATGTGATTCTTTACGTGTGGTCTTAACACCATTGGTCCTCTTTTTGGCATTAATTTCAAAATGTTTGAAATGTCTTCTTCATTATATAATGATGAACTTTGGGAGAATTATTTTCATAGTAAAATTCACGATACTTTGCGTTATAATCCCAAATTCACTTTTAAATTCTCTATACATTTTAGGCGGATTATTATATCGTGAATGTACATTATCTGCTAATATTGCACGATGCTGTAAATGCGTTTCAATTTTCAATTTAGCTGCCACAATCTATCAGTAATTTCGACTGAGATACATTGATTTCAGCAGCAGTATTGTCTATATTGTCAGCATATTTTTCGGAATGTAGCCCGAAAGTCCATTCTTTTCACATCCCTCCAAAAAGAAGAAAGCAAAATTGTCTGTACCAACCATTTGCCAATCATAATCGTCTTCATGCTCGTGAACTTGTAGAGCACACTAAATCCAGACGCGGCTGAGTTTATTCCAGCGATCAAAACGACGACGGTAAGTACATCGTCAGGAGCCGCCGAGTCAACGTCGAAAATTTAACTTTACCCGCCTACGTTTAAGTCATGTAAAGTCGGGCTATACGTAATGGCTAGAGAGTCTACTATTTCCAATCGGACAATTATATTAAGTGAATCGTGTTTAGAAGTTCAATGACTGTGACTGTACGTACAAAGATGTTGTAAAGTACGCGAGTCGGGATGCCGCACCATCGAGATACGCGTCAGTCCGAAACTTAATATCAGTTATCACGCAAACCGGGCGAAATATTGTGCTACCGAAATTTTTATAGACCGGAAATTGTCGCGCGACTATTGAGCGAGGAATTATTATGTATATGTTTCTTGCCGGGATTACGAACCGATCATGTATACAAATCACTCGTTAAAGGAAATTCGCAATTTATATATTATCTCTTGTTCAATGTATTCACGGAGAACAGGTTTTTGCAGAGGTAAATGCTTGTAGCATTTCTTTCTTTTTTTTTTTAACTTGCGTAAGTAGTATGTTATAAATTACAATATTGTATATTGATCGAGAGAAATGAGCTGCGGTTCAGGGTGAAGTGAACTGAAAAGGAACATGTACTAGATCCTTTATATGGACTTTAAATAAGTTTGTAGAATCAAGGCAATGATACACACATGCACATACACACACAAAAACACGCATATATACATTACATTATCTTGTAAATTATGTTTATATATCCTATGTATGTATGTCTCGATCAGATCTTATCATGCTGAAGATTATGTGACCCTTTTTATCTTTCACTCTGTATCAAGCTGTAAAATTTTTTGCAGTCACAATTTTTACGGCTTGATATACATTAATCAATGTCCAATGAAAACTTTCCTCAAGAGAGTTCCTTTTGTAATACTTATAATAGAGGACGATGGTTGCAGAATTGTTAGCAGAGCATGTTACACTATGATCGCAAGATATTGTAAGAATCATGTATATCGAAGACATCATATTATTTTTTGTAACGAATATTTTGCCTCGGATAGGTAAATAATCGCGACACCATCAATTGCATGCATATAGTTGGCGAAAAGAAAAGTTATATTATTTATATACGAATGTATCATTTTATTCGAGAATTCGGCGGAGACGCGAAGTCCCGACAGGTACTAATTTCAGAATTTGAAGAACAAGGCAACGCTCGACAAAAAAAAATTGTGATTCTGAATTTAGCGTATACGAGACAATATATGAGCCTCATGTGAAAACATTTTATTCTACACTTTCGACTTGTCGTTTCACGGGAAATTATTCCTTCTTCGATATCGTTATGATTTTTTGAACCGTTGTCGCATTTTTTTTTTTTTTCGAATTGTCGAATAATACATGTCGGGACTCGAATTGCGCGTTTGCCGACGATTCGTTTAAAACGTATACGAGGAACATTATCGAGTCCTGCTTCAGCATTCGTTCAACAAACTTAAAGATCTCAAGTGAAAGTCTTACTTAGGCTGTGAGGGACTCTTTTTACGACTCTTTTTTAGTGGAACCGAGAAAATCAGCACATTGCTTACTTATTTTTTAAACCAATCTGCATGCGGTAATATTTCAAAATTTAGGAGACTGCGTAGGTCATAGAATGTAACCTCGATGAAACATAATGGAAATAGAGTAAATGGTGAATGTACTTCAAATTAGCTTGAATAGCAAGAAGGTTGATTTGATTTTTGCTAGAACATAATATTAATACGTATACGTATACTCGTTATTCATGAATATATCACATATATTTGTACAATATTTGATACTTCCCCAATTATGTGATTGCTTTTAGAACGACTAACGGAAGGGATTTTCAAGTCGCTTCACTCCGTGACTTTTAAGTCGACTACGAAAGAAAAAAAGAGAGAAAAGGGAATCGGATCTTGTAAATTTAAAATCAAACTTTTTGCGATCCAAGATTATACACGCGCGGTGGTGATTAAAACGCAGGCGTGCCACTTACGTGATATTTGCCATCCTTTTTAAGAATTACGAGAAATGAATGTATAAATTTTTAATAGGATCTATATATTGAGATATATCTATATATTGTTATATGTTTGCATTATATACTTTTGTATATGGTAAGTGCGCGTTGTTTTAGTCACGACCTGGTTTATACCATCAACTGTGAAAACTGTGATTATCAGGACAGCGTCACTAAGTTTATTCGAATTATGTTGTACACATACGAGGCATCACGTCAATCCCTTGCAATATACTGTAATTTACTTCGGAACTTCTTTGCTTTGCGAAGAGGATACATGGTGTACGATACAGATCATCACTTATCACTTGATCCGCACATCTGTGTCGTATATCTCGCGTGCTTTATAGTGTACTATCTTTTTACACGCTATCATTTATAGGCAGCACAGTGAAAATTGCAGAAACAGCTGGTAACGCGATCGGCAATAATTGGCTGTATCACACGATGTGTGTTACGTTGACAAAAACGAAGGTAGTACAAGGGGAAAAAAATCACGAATTTGCAATACTCTGAAAGAATCAAATTCACCGCGAGTCTAAACCAGAGACTGATTTCACGTCCATTTTTACGTCAGCTTTAATATCCGAACTAGATCTTATATCCACGATTTTAATCCTTACTTTACAATCGCTAATCTAGATTCTGTATAATAATAGAAAAAAAATCGTTTGCAATATTATCTTATCCTGCATAATACAAAGTTTATATATATATATATATATATATATA